CACATAATAGCTTAAGAGACTCCAACACCAAGTTGAAAGAAAAGAAATGGCACATTTAACCATGATTTAACTTCAAGATCAAGGTGTTGGGACTCTTCTAGCTTATTACTATAATTGGAAACTCAATTTGTATGTGGTTGTCATTATGCATTTATTTGCCGGTAAATGTGTAACATTATAACAAGACAGGTAACAGCATCTTATAGAAGTCACAAGAGGATACATCTCCTTTATTTGTAGTTCTGCACCAAGCAGTGCAGCACTTGTATACACTACTACTAGAACAGTCTTCACTATAGCAGGGTTCTCCCCAGGATTTGAGAGGCATGGCCCCCCCTCCAGAGGGGGGAAGCTGAAGCATTTTTATATTATATATCTAAATACAAATGGAAGCCATTTCCTGCAACTTCAGGTTTTGAACTGCCAGAAAAAAATGTTAACATACAGGAAAAAATTGGGCATAGGTTCCACGCTCTGACTCCTAACCGGGGGCCAACGGTGCCTTCAAGTTCGACAATTGAAAAAGAATATGACATTAAGTCATACATTTTCCACTTGGAACTTGAGGCAAGCAATTATGGGAAAATGTAGAGAAGCTGGGACAAAACCTTATCCTAATGCTAATCCTTATGTTATCACCAACTTGTAAACAAGTCCCTTATAATTATCAAAGTACCATCAAGAGTACCATCAAAACAAAATTTCACTTCTCTAACATTAAATAATCGGTCCCATGTTTAGGACTAACAAAGTTACACATTCAAGAAAATACTTTTGAATTTTAAAAAAAAAAGAAGAAACTAGAAAGGCCAATATTTGCTTTGGAGCAAATACAGCGATGGGTTCACCACATTTTACGACATGGCAGGGAAAGAATGGGAAACACAAGGGAAAACAATGATTTACATTGATATAACTATAATATGAAGTAAAATACAACTAAAACAACAGTTGGATAGCTATTCCCTACTTTATTGGTTAGGATTTTTAATTGCATAATGCAAACTGTTGATTTTCAATAAAAAAAACGTCCATGCCCGACATTCCACTGCTGGAGCAGGAAAGCTTGAAATACCTACCAAAACACTTGAATACAGACATACTGTCAGTATGGAAATGCTTCTGTGCAGGTGTTAATCAAGTTAAATCCCAACAGCCAATCAGCAAGAAGTATAGAGGAAAGCTGCAGTGCATGCCTATTGGTTGATGCCCTGCATTCCATTGTGATGACTCATGTCCAAACGTGGTAAACAAGGCACCCTAACACAGTAATACATTTGCTATAACACAGCCAAAAAACTCAAATAAAACCATTCTAAAAGCCTGTATCACAATAATTTAAAAAACGCCTAGGGGTATTTGCCCACTGTACCTCCATACCAAATTTCAGGACCTTGGGCCCTAAAATGAAGAAGCAGAATCCATTTAAAAAATGGCAGGAGGAGAAGGAGGAGGAGGAGAAGAAGAAGAAGAAACATCAGAAAAAGCAATATGGTTTCACCACACCACGAAGATGAACCCATAAAAAAAAAGAAATCTGAAGAAAAAAATATTAATCTGCACAACATTTTATTGGTTTCTATCCCTTTGCTTGTCTACAAGTCGATAATGTGATTGTATCAATTTTCAAACGCCCTAAAATTAGCTAAATCGGCGAATTAAGGTGATTGCGCAATGGACGTGCCCTATGACCTTCGACCTTTTGGGGGTCATGCAGGCGTCAACAGCGCCCCCCATGCCTTGCCCGTCCGTTTTCGTCGGCAAATTTCTGCTTCTTTAGAGGTTTTGAGACCTTCAAACTCATACCATGGGAGAAATAAACCACATACGTTAATTTTATGGTAAATATCGCTAAAATGGACCATGCATTTTTTTGTCGCGTTGCCGATTTTTGGCAGAAGCCTTGCGGTGCGGCCGCCATGTGCTACGCTGATAGGTACAGGCCGTCCCCCGTCCGGGTTTGTGGGCAAAATTCAGCTTTTTTTAAACGTTTCGGGACTTAAAAACCGACAGCAGGGGAAAAATAAATCGTATATGTTATTTTCATGGGAAATACCGCTATCATGAACCAGACATTTTCTGTCGCGTCAACGAATTTCGCGGCCGCCACATGCTTCATAATGTCGCGGTACGGTAGGGAATTTTCTACGGTTTATAAGTTCGTAAACGTATCGGCTTTTATTTTTAAACTTATTATCAGGGTCGAGGGCTTTGGTTTACAAAGAAATCAGACAATTAGCTTTCTTTACACGACTTCAAAACGCTAGCGGGGCGCCCGATGTTCCACCAATGACAGCGATTCTCTCAGTAGCGTCGTGCGAAATACTCATTGTTTACTCGATTATCGCCCCATTCACAAGTTTTCAGAGACAATGCCGGCGGGAAAATAGACGCCACTAAGCCCCGAAATCAGGAAATTTTATCGAATTTTAGCGAAATTTTGTAGAAAAATCGGGATGCAACACCCTAGATTTGAAAATGAGTATGAGGGCGCTGAGCTAGGAGTATCAGGGCGCAGCGCCCTTGTTCCATCGTCTGGGGAGAACCCTGATGTATTACATGAACATTTCTGACTCACAAGTTAACGGGACTCATTCATGTTTTGCAATTCTAATGGCAACATATGTAGTTGAAATATATTATGTCTTCCTTCTGCAAAGGTAACCATATACTGATGGACAAACCTTTTCTGAAGCAGTTGCTAGTTTGGTTCCAGGTGCGTTGAACTGTAAAGCCGCTAGGGGGCTATCGTGAGCCGGAATCATGGTGACCGCACGCTGGAATGAAAAATTGATTTTCCCTCAAAAAATTGTCAAAGACCTAACAGTATCATTATCATTTGTCTGTTTAGGCCTACATGTATAAAATGAATATTAAAATGTTCTCCAACTCAATAGATTTGACTCAGAAAAAAGAATTTACAACTGACTTCCAACAAACTTTGACCCAGTGTTGACGTCACACATGCAGAAAAATCAGGTGTTCACAGCAGTTGGGTCAGATAGCTGATGAAAGCTGGGAGATTCAGGCCAAAAATTCTGGTGAGTTAAATTCTTTTAAGTTGGAGAAAAGTTTACTTCTCGTGATCATGACCTACCAAGTTGACTGTGTCGAAAACCTGGACCTCTCCTATCTGAGCGCTGCCAGGGTAGGCCAGGAAACAGTTGTCGTTGTTGATGGAGAGGGCGCAGAGCCCCATGGGGTTGGGCGGGGTGTCGCGGATGGTGTGTAACACCTTCATGTCACGGATGTTGTGGATATACAGACTCTCCTCAAGGGCAACAATCAGCCTCTGTAAGATACATGTATGTATGTTCAGGGTTAGCCCAATTGCCCGACCGTAGTCATACATGTATGGTCTCTTGACAGTTTAAAGTTTGATCTAAAATTAGCTCATAAAATCTAACTTTTTCAGCAGGGTGGAAAGTAAAATTGGTTTGTGCAGGTCATGTTGAATGTGTTTGGATTGACGTGTTCAAAAATTCATTTTTTTCTATAACTATTACTTTTTCTAAACAATGTTTAGACTTACTACTAAGTTGATGTTCAAAGGTTACATGTAAGAGTAACAATCTTATTGAGTCTGTGCTTTAGACAGACTGTACAAGAATTGTTTATACATACACAATACATACACAATACACCTTAGAAATATTCACAGATCTTCAAGTATTTAGTCTGTCTCTATGTATGCATGTCAGGGTTCTATCTTTATTTGCTATGGGTCTGAGAAGCCTAAATAAAGTACAGCAACATTAACGTCAAGCAACTGCATACTCACGAGTCTGTTGAGTTTGACAGCCAGGATGGTGTTGGAGTAGCTGTAGTTACAGATCTCTGTACCCTTCTTGAAGTGACACACCTGTCAGAAGTAAGGAATTACCAGTACACATTTAACAGTGGATAACAAGTCAAGGGATGCCAAAGCACCATACATGTAATCATCATCACACCAATTTCATGACTTGTTGGTTCTCAGATTTTTTCAGAAAAAAATGCGAAGATTTTTTGATACAGGATTTAGAATTGTTTTTATTTGTTGTTTTCTTTTTTTTGTGCCATTTGCTGACAAAAACTGTACATTTGGGGTCCAGGTATTACAGCCAAATGATAGGCACGCTGAATACCCTCGTTCATGAGTATGCTACTAGTACTTGTTACTTGTATATAAATAAGAATGGGCTTGGGTTGATTCAACTTAAAAGAATGACCAGGAAATTGACTTTGAAAATCCAGTTTTTCAACCAGAAATGGCATTGGATCTAAGTTTCCTATCTGGACTCCTGTACCTTGAGCTTGCGTGGTGCAGAGAGGCTGACGATGGCCACCAGACTGGAGGAGAAAAGTCTCTCCACGATGCACACATCCTCACTTTCTGCTTTAGAGGGACACACAGTCAGACAGGTGTAAACAACATGGCAGGTGCAAACAATAGTTTTTTTTTAAATGTCTGTCAGCTCTAGCTCTGTTTGCTTGTTACAACCCTGGCCCTGCTGAGTTGTGCTTAGCAGTGCAGATCTTAATTACCTTTGAGGCTTCCCATGCATTTTACACACAGTTTTAACTAATCTATTTCTTGTGTTGTGCTGTGACAGTGAGTTTCAACCACCAGTAATTGTATAACTGACCAGCTCCTAACATCGTAACAAATTTGAGCTTGTGAGTTTAAGTTGAAACAAAAGCTGGTTGTCCTGCACCTAAGATCACATTAAGGAAAATCAAACACAGTTGCATTCCTGTCGCTCAGCAACACCTGTCAGTAAATTATTGACTTATTCGTCTGACTTATTGTAAATTTAACTATATATCCCGGTTCTAGATAGTCCATGATAGTCCACTATACAGATCCATGCTTCGTCTAGCCGCGGCGACTGTTGCAGGGCTTCTTTTGCTTGCAGTCTTTTACAGTAGCCCTAACAACAGTCGCGGAGCGGTGCATTGGGCCAAATGAACAAACATGCGTTTTACCGTGCCGGAACACTTTGAGACCGAAGTTTGCACGTCCCTAGATTCCCAACAGCCTTACCTAACGTGCCGGGGGGGTTTGCGCGTCAACCGGCCCCTGCGCGACTCGTACCGCCACTATTTGCGATCGATCCCCACGTAAAACATAACAGTTGGCCGCCATTTTTGATTGGAATCAGCCGCCGGCAAATTTGCCGCTACTTTTCCGATAAGCTATTTCTATGGATCAGAAAAGTAGCGGCACATTTGCATATAGCTGATTCAGCACGCGGCTGACCAAGATGGCGGCCACTCGGCTTATGAATACATGGGGATCGATCGCAAATAGTGGCGGTACGAGTCGCGCAGGGGCCGGTTGACGCGCAAAACCCCCCGGCACGTTAGGTAAGGCTGTTGGGAATCTAGGGACGTGCAAACTTCGGTCTCAAAGTGTTCCGGCACGGTAAAACGCATGTTTGTTCATTTGGCCCAATGCACCGCTCCGCGACTGTTGTTAGGGCTAATGTAAAAGACTGCAAGCAAGAGAAGCCCTGCAACAGTCGCCGCGGCTATGCTTCGTCCAGAATCATGCTCAGGCACGGTTCTGGATAGTCCGAGCATATTCAAAATCGTGCCTGAGGGCAAATCTACATTCTTGGATTATGGATATGCATAGACTATCCAGAACCATGCACAATCCTAACCCTACCCCTTTCAGTTTCAGGCATACACTGTAGAACTAGATAGGCATGCTAAAACAGGACACCCCTGTTGATAATGAGAGTAGACAGACATCTGGTTATATAAGTGGGTCAGGTGAACCCACCATGACTTGTGCCTGGACCACTGCCAGCTTTCACAGCACTGGCTGCAAATCAAACTACCATTTGCGTTGAAATGTCATTATGTAGTATATGTAGCCTGACTGAATATAAGGTTGGTAACATTCAAAGTTCATGCAATATTCATCTAGATTTTTAACCGCCTTGGTTCATGCAAAGGGTAAAAATCTATGCAGAATGTGCCCCGAAGAGACCTTCAAGTGAAATCTAGGCCAGTTCCTCAAGCCTGACTTCAGTTTAAACCGATCTAAAAATAGATATCTTAGTCAGTCGGTTTCCCCATAGTTCTGCCACGTCCGTTATATATGCGTTTGCATTTCGTTACACCCTAAAGAGGATGATGCAAAAGATAGGCAAACTGTTGTACACTTTACACCCCCCCCCCCTCCCTTTGCCACTTGTTTCTTGACCTGAGGTCAATATTACGACTTGAGTCGACCTACCATTCTCATAGATCACGTCCAATTTGTCCACCGAATTCAGCGAGTGAAGCTTGTATCCCGTCTTCGAGCCAACCGCCAACGATCTGGAAAAAAACACGGCAATCCAGACGTTTGAGCGCGGATACGGTTGTAAGAACAGAGGGGTAAACAAAGGTGTTTAGGTGGGACAAAAACAAGACTAAGGGAGGTCGGGGCTTTGTGGGGGCTCCGATGACTTACGTGCAGTCTTGGTTGAAGTTGACGAAGAGGAGACCGGCGGAGTTGTCCCCGCCTTGACCGGCGAGGTTCATCGGTAAGGTCTGCGTCCCGCTAGTCGTCAGAATCGGCGCGTCCACCTGTCCACCGGAAAAAAATTGTCGTCGGCTCCGTCACAAAAACTATCGTCAGACAACCGCCATCTTGAACCTTCCTGTTTTCGTACCGACGTCACATGATTGGACTGTGCCATACTCCAAAGGGGGATGGAATTTTCCGTTTTAAGACGGAATCAAATCCGACTTGTGGCTAATGATAATCATGTCAAGAATACAAAAACAACATCTGTATCAAACATGTTTCATTTTGATGCGGTTAGAGATGTGATAGGAAAAATACGTTTTATGAAAATATCCCTCCACAAGGAATGGTCTCACCTCCACAGATACAAGCCGAGTGCTGATTGGCTGCCACTGTGCAGCTGTTCAGTAGCAATATTGTTACGTCACTTCTAACCTGTCACTCCAAAAGATAGCCCAGTCAGCTGTTTTACTCGTTAGAGGACAAGATTGGGTTCCCATTATGTTCAAGTTTCATGGTTGATGTGAAAATTAGCCTATTCCCAAGGGAACTTAAGTCATGAGTTTTTTAAACAAAAATTTCATGTTTTAGATGGAAAATCCAAGGACGTTCAACACTTGGAAAATCATAACGTTATCACAGGGTCACAATTTTCTGCATATTCTTTCAAAGGACTTCAATTTTTCAGGTATAAATTTTTCACCTGCAGAAAACCTGTTCCTAGAGTCCAACTTTCCCCAGCAGACGGGGATAGATTTATGATAAGGTCTTTAAAATATATGTCATGACAAATATTTCCCTTTGACTTCGAGGGATGTTGCAAAACCTTTCTACATGTAATAAAAATAAATTCAGTAATTTAAGGTCCTTGATTACTATTTATTTCTACACCAAGCTCAAAGATAAAGCCTTCAAGTTCTTTTTTCCTTCTCTGCTTTCCACTTGAAGAAACTGCACTGCATCCTCCTGTTGACTTGCCTCCTATTTCACAATCTGTCATTCCATTGTGGTCAGGCTGGAGTCCACCCAAGAGAATTTGATTCAGACCACCTTTCTTGTACCAGTTGCAGCCTGATATTGTGGCACTCACTCACTCACCCACTGACTGACTGACTGACTCACTCTCTCTCACTCACTCACTCACTGGCATACACAGGCACACACACACACACACACAAACTCACATACACAGTCACATACAATGCAAAGAAGAACAAGAAAATTGAGTGATGGAAAAATGTACTTTATTCTCCAAGAACTGGGATTTAAATTCACTCAAAACTGGCATCAAAAACACCTTCATACTTTTTGTTTTGTTGTTTTGTTTTGTTATTACATGTACTTTATCATGCTTCTGTAAGGTTTGGTTGCATGCGTTGGCTTGCTGGATCAACACTGGAGGCTTTAGTTTGCTGTAATGGATTTTGTGGCTACATTGGCTAAAGTTGATGCTGTTCCCTTGCTGTTTTTTTCTACATTCAAGACCACTAACATTGGGAATATCCCTTACACAGGACAGTTTTCTAACATGTACATGCTGGAAGCTTTGCGAAGCCAATTCCCCATCATTACAGGAAATTTGTCTGGATAACGACAATACGGAGCAGTGGCAATACATGTATCTGTACACAAGTATTCCTAAACACACGGCACCTGTAAAAAAATACAACTTGGTGGCAAGTCTAAACTGGCCAGTACAATCAAATGTTTTAGTCCACTGCACTACCCATCAACAGCTATTACAAAATCCTTTGCTTTACTGTCAACTTCAACGCATCACAAGTCTATGCCCCCCTCCACAAGTAACCCCTAGTTTGTACCCTTCCTTCCGTTAAGTACATGTAGCTTTATGACTAAATATGAGGAATGGTTTGTGGTTTTAGACTACCTTAATGATTGTTATGTGAACTATTAACAAAACCCACCCTCTATCCCTCCATCATGAAGTGTAGGTATTTTACCACCCTCGAGATGCAGTCAAATTGTATCTGACAGGCTATACTATTAGTATTAATAGACACTTTAATATAGTTTGACAAAGAACTGATAACTACTCAAAAGGATCACCTTTGCACAATCGGTGATTTGTAGTTGCCTAAAGATGTCAGTCTTGTGCTGTGGATCTGATGACTGATGTGAGATGTGCTTCCCTCGCCGAGGCTGGCTCCCATCTGTATTGAAACATGAAACAACACAGTCAGAGGCATACACGTTGCAGTAAAAACTTAAGCAAAAAATGTCTACGTGCACATTTACTTGGCCTTCCGTCCAAGACCAAAGGTAGCCTTCTCTTGGGGGCTAGAACTGTTCACAGA